ACTACGACTACGACTACGACTACGACTACGACTACCTCTCCTCCTCCCCTCCCTCCTCCAACTCCTCCTCCCCCTCCTCCTCCTCCTCGGCCTCCTCCTCCGCCCCCTCCTCCACCTCCTCCTCCGCCTCCCCCTCCTCCTTGTCCTTGTCCTCCTCCTCGCGCCCAGGACCTCCGATCTCTGCGGCGGCGCGAGGGCCCCAGCGGGTCCTGGGCGTGGCACCCCTGGGACCGTCGAGAGCGCCACGCCAGCTGCAGGCCGTCGGCGCACCGAGCTGCAGGGGATGGCGGGGCTGCCCGGGCCTTTGTCGCCGCACCGCTGGGTGCTGTCGTCGAGGGGGGTGCCGACGGCGTGCAAGCGGTGGGGCAGGTGAGCTCGTGAGGACACGCTGCTGTGCACCGAGGCGAGGGACCCCGTTTGAGCAGGGCTGTGGGGCTGTGGGCGAGCCAAGACGCTTCGCCACTGCTTGACCCATGGCTCCACGCAAAGCCTGGGAGCCGGCCACCAGCACGGCAGCGATGCCGGGCGAGAGCGAAGGACGGCTGGCACTCGGCCCGAGGGCGGCGCGCAGGGCACACCAGCAGCCGAAGCTCGCGGGGCGCACGTGCTCAAGTCTACAGCTCTCGGGGGCCCGCGAACCTCAAAGGGCCTTCATTGCTGCCCCCCCCCCCCGGCTCTCAACGGGGAGAAATGACTCGTTCTCGCCTTCCTCGTCCTTCCCCTCCACGCCGTCCACCTCCTCGTCCTCCCGCTCGCCGTCGTCAGTGTGATCGTCGTCGTCGTCTTCGTATGGGAGTTGCGCAGGTAATCGTGCGCAGTAGGGGTGCGCCATACTTGGCTGAGCTTGCCTCGTGGTGGCCATGCGTGCAATTAGTTGCCAACTAATGTTCGCCGTGCTGGACCTGCACGACAAGGGCATTTCGAACTTGCCCATACAACGACCCAAAGATAATTCGCTACATCAACAAGCGGGTCGGCTCCCCTCCCTCCTCCTTCCTCCTTCTGCCCCGAACTTGCCGCTCCAGGCGGCGAGGTCCAGCCCGCGAGCGCCCCCCCCCTGAAGGCGGAGGGGGGCTCCGTCAGGATGCCGTGCCCGGAGCCCTGCTGCGCCGTCTCCAGCTGTGGGGGCAAGCTCTCCTGCAGGTCCTGAAGCAGAGAGGAGGCAGCAAGAAAGAGGAGGGAGGAGAGGAGGAGGGAGGACGAACCAGGAAAAAGGGAGGGGGAAGGAGAAGGAAAAGGAGAAGGAGAAGAAGGAGGAGGAGGAGGAGGAAGAGGAGGAGGAGGAGGAGGACGAGGGAGGAGGGAGGGGAGGAGGGAGGAGGGATGGAGAAGGGAGGAGGAATCATGGAGGAGGAGGAGGAGGAGGAGGCGGAGGAGGAGGAGGAGGAGGAGGAGGAGGAGAGAGGAGGAGGAGGAGGAGGAGGAGGGGAGGAGGAGGTGGAGGAGGAGGAGGAGGAGAGGAGGAGGAGGGGAGGAGGAGGAGGAGGAGGAGGAGGAGGAGGAGGAGAAACGCCCGTCGCAACGGGGAGCGAAATGAACGCACCGGGCCGCCGCGCGGTGCGGGCCCGCTCAGAGGCATTGAAGATGTAGTACTTGTCGGCACGGTCTGTAGGACCCCGCCCCTGAGCCATGTGGACCTGGACGCCGCTGGCCGTGCGGGGCAACGCGCGCCGGGGTCGGTGACTGACTTTCTGGCGCTGCCAGGCCGCCCGCGTAGGTCACCGACCCAAGGGGCTGTTGCTCCTGGCAGATCGGTGGGACCTGGACGCGGTGGGCGGCAGCGCGCGCCAGCGCCTGCGCCACCATAGGGCCCGGCTGCAGCGGCCCTGCACGGTGTCGGAGCAGGTTGTAGGTGTGGCACAGCGTGGCCAGCCGAGCGATCGTTGGGGGCAGGCCGTTTGCGCCCCTGCGGGTTTGCGCCGTGGTCCCCCTGCGTGCCCAGCCCGAGACGATGCAGGGTGCTTTCGTGCGCAATGGTTCGCGAGGCCACGCACGCGCGCGCGCACACACGCACACACACACACACACACACCCAGGCTCCACGGCCATCCAAGTAGTGTGATGTATGGTCAGTGCCGTCCTCGCATTTCCCCCGGCACGGCAATCGGGGATGTCCCACGTGCACGCGGTACGAATAGTGCCCTGCGCCTGCGAGAGTGGGAACGATCGCCCAGCAACTGTCTCGGGCGGCGACGGCCAGCTGGGCCTTGAGACGCAGCCACCTCCGGCGGTGGTCAAGGGGGACCGCCCCTGCAGGCCACCAAGCACGGAGGCGTCCACGCATCGTGGCATCGAAACTTTCGGGAAATAGCTGCTGGGCAGCTGCAGCCGCGCGCGTGCGCTGCCAACGGTGTTTGCGCGCTGCGGCCGCCGCCGCGCGCAGCTCGCGGCATGCTGCGGTGTTGGCGTCTTGCAGGGCTTGCCGCAGGCTCCGCTGCAACCGATCGCTGGGCGCCGTGGCCTCAGCGGTGTCGAAGGCCTAGAGGCACTGTAACATGGACTCGGTCTGTTCCCAGAACGGGGCGCCCCATCGGCCCGAAATAACGATGGTAGCAGGGAGAACGTCCATCGCGCGTTCGCGCCATTCGTCCGCGAATACTCTCCAGTCCGCCAGCGTGGAGTAAGCGGCGGGCCACGCAGCGGCCCAGTTAGCCGGTAGTAGCGCACCCAGGGCGGGCCCAGGTGCCCAGGTGCCGAGACTGATCAGCTCGGCCTTCGCGAATGACTTCGGCGGGGCTTTCAGGATGCGGTGCGGCTCGTCGAGCTCATCCTGAATGAGACACTCTAATAGGGGCAGCAACTAGGCCATGTACATGGGGACGGACACTGTGGATCCGCTGTAAGGAGTTATTACCTGAGCCGAAGAGGAGGAGAAAGAGGAGGAGGAGGAAACTAGACATGAAGATGTAAAGGGGCAAGGCGTGCTGTTCAATAACGCGGTGTACAAGGCCGATGGGCGGGCACGGACAAGGAATCCTCGAGCCAAACAACCACAAGGGATGACCCTACCCACGCCCATCAAACTGGCAAGGGGAGACGAGTGGGCAGAGCAGGGCACTGCACAAGGAACTACCATTCGAGTCTGGTGCTCAAACAAGTAACACGCCCGTCGCCCCTTCAAAGGGGCAGCACAACATGAGAACTCCATGAAACGCCCCTTCATAAACAAACACCCCGCAGAGGGAACGTTCTGACCAAGTTTCGGAACGTCTGAGGGTTGCCAGACTTCGTTCCTGCCCCAGGGCACATTGGCCCCCCACGGCAAAAAACCGCAAACACATCTCACGGCGCCCGTGGAAAGGGTTGGAAACTACTCCCGTGGAGCCCTGAAGGCTTTCCAGAGCAGGATGACTTATTCCCCGCCCAATGAAGCGCGAGACCATTACGAGGAGAGCTTGTTAAAGCAACCGCGAAATGCCAAAGCCGCTCGCGTGAATGCTCTACTTGTCAATCTCGCCCGTGGATATCCAAGAATGTCAGCTTCCCCACTCCAGGTGATCTCGTGACACAATCACGAGAATCATCTCCTCACTTCTGCGTGAGTGAGCAATGCTGTGAGCTCGGGGCGGCCTCCTTCGACTTCTCGCCGCTAAACTTGACCGTGGCGCGGTCATAGATGATCCGGCCGCCCGTCGCGCCGAAGTGTAGCTCTCTCCCGCGATGCCGTCGGTCATGGGGTCGGCCGGCATGCCGCGAATGTCGCGCCAGAGCAAGTCGTCTATCTGCTCGGCGCGCAGCTGGTCGGCTGACCACCACAGGTTACCAGCCATGCCTCTCTCGGACGACGGCCAGGCGAGGCCCGTGAGCAGGGCGCTGTAGACGGACGTGCCGTCGATGACGAGATCTACAGTGGCGCGAACCTCCTTCCCCCCGCAGCCCCCCGATCTCCTCGGCATGTGCGGGGCCGCGTACCATCTCGCGCAACGCGAGGGGGCGCGCCTGCAGACCATCTGTTGCGCCGCATGCTGCGAGCAGCTCAGCGCCGAATGAGGCTCTGCACGCGAGCTTGCGCGATTGGCGCAGCGCCCAGCAAGTGGCGCGCCTGTTCGCCTGCGCGACGGCACTTGCCGAGACGCGCGCGCGCGGTTCTCCCCGCGCCGCATCTTGACTCCCCCTCCATCTTGAAAGACCCGTCGCTGAGCGCGCTGAATCGCCCAGAACACTCCACTGATGGAAATGCAAGGCGCGCCCCAGCCCTCTGCGCGGCGAGAACGACGAAGTTGAACTGCGCCGCGCGCCAGATGAGCAGCTTGGAACAACAACTACGCAGATGCACCCTTCCTGCTCCGATTGCACCTGGCACCCTCGCCGTCTGCCCCGCGCCGCGGGAATCCACGCGCGCGGCCAAGCGCGCGCGCAGACGCACATTTGTAAGCTCATTGTGGCCCGCCCGCCAGGGATGAACCGGATTCCGCCGGCCCCGGCCGCCCTCGCCCCCGGCGGCGAAACCCAACCCAGGTGATTGGTGCATCACATTTTCGGTGCATCCCGACACCCGTCGTAGCTTACTAGGTAAGGTGCATGCACCAATCTGGCGTGATTGGTATATGCACTTTACTGTGTGCGCGCATAGTCGTGTCCTGATGGGGCTTGGGCCATGCACCGATGTTGCCCCCAGAGTGCCCTGGCATCGTCAGCGGGGGCAGAGCGGGCTGGGGCCCGTCGAATCGGCTGGCCGCCCCCTGAAGAGGGACTGCGCCGTCGCCAACGGGCAATTGCCACTGCGGCTGCTGAAATAGACTGCCACGAACACCACCCCGCGACACTCGGCTTCCAGGGCCCCCGGCGGCCAGAAGGTATTCATGCATATTTGTGTACTCCGAACTCAAGGCCCTCTGCAGGGCGATGATGCACGCTGCGACGCGGGGCTGGGCGAGCAGAGCATTGGCCGCTGCTCCCTGGAGGGAGGCAAAGAGGTCGGACAGTTGGCCTTACCAGGTAGACGCGGCCGATCGGTATCAGAGCGTCGACGTCCTCGTCCTAGTCGAGCGTCACGGTGCCATCGGCACTGCGGTGCTGGTGCACTCCCGCAGTTGGTGAGATCGTCGCAGTCGCCATTCGCCCTGCCGAAGACGCTATCGATGTGGCTGATCCGCTGGTCGACGTGTTCATTGTGCCCGACGATCTTTGGATCGTCAACGTGCCTGGACAACGTGATCACTAGCTCCGAGACGCTGGCAGCGCTATTGCCGGACGTCGCGCGCGCGCCCTCCAGCTCCAGGCCCCAACTGGTAGGTCAGGCATTGCTCTCGGGCGAGCGCGTGACAGGGCGAGCTTCATGGAGAAGGCTCTGAGCGCACCCTTGCAGCCCGTGCCCGGCTTTACGCAGCGGCGGCGCCCGGTCCGCTCGTTGAAGCTCTTGCAGCGGGGCGCCCGCTCGGGGGCGGCTGGGCTGCCGGGCGGCAGCGTGCAGTTCGCTTCTCGAAGTGCCTCGCCTCGTTCCTGTGCGTCTGCGCAGGCCACAACTTGCAGGAGTGGCTGCTCGACATCAATTGGAGGGTGAAAGAGGGGTCTGCAACGGGGGGTCTTCAATGGGGGCTGAATGGCCCATGTGTGCTCAATGTATCGCTCATGTATGTGATCGGGTACGATTGGCGTCCAATGCTGGCGGTCATTAGTGGCCAGTCATTCGCGCCCGCGCGTTGCCCGCGCGGGCGCACGCGCCGTCCATCCGCTATCGTTCATGCGTGCGGGCGTTCTTGCAAATTGCGCGTGGGTCGGCGAAGTGGAGTGCAAGTGTGTCTTGATTGTGCGGTTGATGATCGCGTATGTTCCCAAACGGTGACTTCTCGACCCCCAAGACAGATTTGGAATGGGCCCCGCGATTCTCCCAAAATGTGAATTCACATTTTCATTTTTCCCAAAATGTGAGTTCACATTTTCCTTTTTCCCAAAATGTGAATTCACATTCTGGCCCCTTTCATAACAGAATCCTACACAAATTTCCAACATGTGAATTCACATTTCCCTTTTTTCCCAAAATGTGAATTCACATTTTCCTTCTTCCCAAAATGTGAATTCACATTTTGCTTTTCCCCACAATGTGAATTCACATGTTGCCCTGGCCTTCAAGATCCCCAAAACTGAGGCGCAGCGTTCCGCATGTCAGATTGGCTGGGCAGATTTCGGCACTCACCTGACTGCTT